GATGGTTCCCACTTGGTCGCAGAAGTCTATTACTTCTGCGCAGTCAAACTGCTTCCCATGATCAAAGATGAGCGCGTTCGATACCCCGAAGCGCGACAAAATGTTGTTCTTTAGGAAGCGCGTCACCTGTTGTGCCGTTATCGAGGCTAGTGCTTCAGCTTCGATCCATTTGGTGAAGTAGTCTACGGCCACAATAATGTATTTGCGCTTCCCTTTTGCTGTTGGGAAGGGGCCCAAGAGATCCACTCCCCATTGCGCAAAAGGCCATGGACTCAGGTTGGCTTGGAGCTCGGTGGATGGGAGGTGGTGCTGTCGCGCGTTGACTTGGCACTTATGGCACTGGTCCGCGCATTTCTTCGTGTCCTTTTTTATTCGCGGCCAGTAGTATCCGTGCAACAAAATGGTGCGCTCCATGCTGCGTGGGCCGGCGTGCATTGCGCACAACCCTTCATGTATGTCGCGAACCATGTCGCGCGCCTCCTCTTGTCTGATGCACTTTAGGTAGACACCTGAGAACGACCGCCGGTACAGTTCTCCTTCAATGAGTGTACATCGGGCCGCTTTTTGCCTCAAAGTCCATGCCTCTTTAGCGTCCTCCGGTATCGTACCTTCTTGTAGGTACCGCACAATTGGGGCTCTCCAGTCCTCATCGCTCATGAGTTGGGTGGTATTAATCGCCACTTTTTGGTGACTTTCCTCCTCTTCCTTCTGTACCGACACGAGACGAGTAGTCTCGAAGTCGGTGGCGGTCGCTAGCTTGGATAGCGCGTCAGCGTGTTTTCCTCTCTCGGTATTTGCACATAAGTTACCGCCTCGAAGGTGGCTGCTCGCAGCTTGACACGCTCCATGTAATGCGCTAGGGTGTCTTTCTTTGCGTTAAAAGCTTCGTTCAGTTGGTTGACTGCCAGCGAGGAGTCGGAAAGTACCATTATTGTTCTTGCGCCCAACTCGTGGGCGGCGGTCATTCCTGCTAGGATGGCCTCGTACTCGGCCGCGTTATTCGTCTTCAACGCTCTGAATCTGATTGCTATCTCGTGAACGACGCCTGTTGGTGTGCGCACGACGAGCCAGCACCGTGTTTACTTGCCGCTCCGTCGACATAAACTTCCCATACCCCCTCTGGTGTTGTTTCGAGGGTGACTCCTTCACCGATGAAGTCTGCTAGGATTTGGGCTTTTATTGCTGGTCTCGGCGCATATTGGATATCGTACTCTGAGAGTTCGACCGCCCATTTCACCATGCACCCTGATACTTCCATCGAAGTTAGAATTTTCTTTAGTGGGAGGTTGGTCAGGACAGTGATCTGGTACGCTTGGAAATAGGGACGCAACTTCTGCGACGCGCTCACTAATGCCAGGGCCGCTTTCTCTATTGGGGAGTATCTTGTTTCAGCGCTGACTAGCGTGTGTGAAGTATAATACACAGTTTGCTCGGTATTATCATTTCTTCTGGATATCAGAACTGCGCTCACAACTCTCGTTGACACGGCCAGATAAAGGAATAATTTTTCATTAAGTTTGGGAGCTGTCAACACAGGAGGTGATACAAGATATGCCTTAAGCTCTTGGAAGGCTTCTTCACACTCTTTAGTCCATGCAAACTTTGCGCCGCTTTTAAGTGTCTTGAAGAAGGGCGCGCACTTGTCGGCTGACCTTGGGATGAATCTCCCTAGCGCTGCTATTTTTCCATTCAGGGATTGGATTTCCAGTGCGCTCCTTGGTGCCCGTAGTTGTTGGACCGCCGTGATTTGTTTTGGGTCCACTTCGATGCCGCGCTTGGTTATCATGAACCCCAAAAACTTCCCTGCTTCGCTTCCAAAGACGCACTTCAGTGGGTTCAAGCGGAGGCTGTGTTTGCGGAGCGCCTCGAATGTCTCTTGCAGGTCCTCCAGATGCGAGTTGCCAGCCTTGGTCTTGACGATGAGGTCATCCACATACGCCTCGATGTTCCGCCCCCTCTGTTGCGAGAACACCGAATCGATCATCCTTTGGTATGTCGCGCCCGCGTTCTTCAGTCCGAACAGCATTCCGACGAAACAGAAGTTTCTGAAGGGAGTCAGGAACACCGTCTTTTCTTCATCCTCACCCGACATTGGGATTTGTTGGTATCCTGAGAACATGTCCAAGAAAGACAGTGTCTCGTGGTCGGCGGTGGCTTCGATCAGTTGGTCAATGCACGGCAAGGGGTAAGGGTCTCCCGGGCATACCTTGTTGATTGTTGTGTAGTCTACGCACATCCGCCAAGCCCCCGAAGATTTTTTCACCAGGACCACATTTGCCAACCACTTCGGGTATTTGACTGGGCGGATCAACCCTGCCGCCAACAGTCGCGCCACCTCCTCTTCGATGGCCTTCAGTTTGTCGCCAGTAAAGCCACGTCGTGCTTGTTGCCTCGGAGGCGCGCTGGGCGGGACTGCGAGGCAATGTTGGGCTACATGCCTTGGTACCTCCGGCATGTCTTCTGTGCACCAGGCAAATAGCTCCTTGTATTCCTTCAATAGCGCTATCAGCGGCTCAATCGCGTCGTCGCGGACGTGAGTCGAGATGCGTATTTTCCTAGTCGGCTCGGTTGGGTCGAGCGCGACCTCGAAATCGAAATCCATTGATTCCGGACGGGGCTCCTCTGGCCTTGTGTCCACAATGTTGGTTTGCCGGGGGTCTCCTTCTAGCTTCGGGGCTCCCCATGGTGTCCCGCGCGCCTCTCCGGTTCCCATCCTAGTGGGGAACTTAAGCTTTTGGTGGCATGTGGAAGGAAGGGCCATGAATTTTGCTAGGAAGGGTCGGCCCAAAATGCCGTTGTGGGATGATTTGCAGTCGACTATTGTGAACTCGACTTGCTTTGAGACGCGCGGCTCTTGGTCACCCATAACGACAGGAAGAGTGACCACCCCAATTACTGGAACCTCGCTCCAGAGAAGCCGACCAGGTTCCCTTGGGCGCGCTTGATTAAGCGCGGGTCGATGTCCATTTTGTCGATAGTGCTCTGGAAGAGGATGTCTGCCGCGACACCTCCGTCTATCAGTAGGCGGTGAATTTTGCAGGCGACCACTAGGGCGGTGATGATGAGCGGGTCTTCAGACAGTATTCTTTGCGGTAATTCGGTGTCGTCGAAGCTTAGTTGACCCCCTGTTTGTACATCCGCTGCTGCGAATTCGATCCCTCGTTCGCGCTTGGTTTTCTTTTTCGGGCGATCTCCTTCCACCGTCACCACCCCTATTTCTTTTCCCACTACATATGTTGCAGCGGCTTTGTTGTAGTCGGCTTGTGGGGGTGGTGGCGGGTTTTGGGGCCCCCCAACTTGTTCCTCTTTTTCGTGTGTGAACTCGGTCAACAATCCTCGTCGTATGAGGCCTTATATTTCGTAGCGCAGTTCTCGGCAATCTTCCGTCCAGTGCCCCGCTGCTCTGTGGAAGTTGCAATGCTTTTTTGGGTCACGCATGTGGGGCAAGGACTTCAGAGGCGCGGGCCAATTGAGCTTGTACCCCTTCTCGCGTAGAACGTGGAACACGTTCTTCACGGAGTCGTTAAGCGGTGTAAAAGCGTGGGGTGCGCGCCTGTCTGGCGATCTTCCTCGCTGGGCTTGCTCTTGTGGGGGAGGGGGATGGCGCTTTTGCCCGCTGTGCAACTGCGCTAGCTGATCTCGCGGCAGCGTGAGCTGCCGACGTCCCTGCTCTTCTCGTGGCAATTTGGCTGGCTCGAAGCGCCTAACAGATCCCGCTCCGAGGGTTTCTTCCAGCATAATTGCCTTCTCAATCTTCATCTCCAACTCCGTTGATAGAGTTACGGGCCTCTTTGCTAGCGCCCGCTTGAGTTCCATGTTGGTGGTGGCTTCCATAAGGTGATGGGCGGCGGTTTTGGGGGTAAGGTCGCGCACTGCCATCGCCACCCTGGACCATCTGGCGTAAAATGATCGTAGGCTTTCCCCGTCCTTTTGCCTGAGGTCTACCAGCGCCTTGAGGTGGAGGGGCCTTCTTTATGGGATGCGAACTTCGTCGTGAATAGGAGTATGAACTCCTCAAATGAACGGATGATCCCGTTCGGGAGCCTGTTATACCAGTCTAGGCATATCCTGGAGAATGTTGATGGGAAGGTTCGGCATAGCGCCGCGTTGGAGTTGGTTTGGAGCTGCATCCGCAGGCAGAAGGTGCTCACGTTTAGTGTTTAGTGTTTGTGCTCGGCCTCCGGGGGTGGTCTTTACCTGCGCGCTTGACTCCGGTGTGACTCGCGCGCTTGACCTTGGCGTGAGTATCCCTGGGTGCTTCTTCAGTGGGGTGAGATCCGAGTCACATGCCCAACAATTATATATGTATGTTTTGTTTAAATCATTTTTATTATTATTGGAATGAATCAATGTTTGTTATGTTGTAGACTTTTGAATTAGTGTATACGAGTTAGAGAAATTTGAATTATACATAGTTAAATTGTAAAAAATTTCATTATTATTGGATTGCACAATTATTAGTTGTATTGTAAAATTTTGAATTAGTGTATTCGAGTTAGGATATATTGTAGAATTTTGAATTATTATTAGTTATGTTGTAGAATTTTCAATTAGTTTACACGAGTTAGGGTGAATGTTACTTAACACGTACTTAATTTAACAATAATGAAATAAAAAAATTAAATTTGCAGGAAGGTGGTGGAAGTTCAAATCCAATTAGTCGTGATTATACTCAATTATTTGTGAATGGTGCGGATTATACAACTCATCTAGAAGCTTGTAATGCGGCAAAAGTAATTGCTCAAGATCTTGGGGTTTTTTTATTTTTTTGGTGAATGCTACTAACAAATGAAACAAAAAGATGGAAGAATGGAGACAGTATTTGAGTTGCAAGCATGGCCCAAGTCTAAGCAAAAGGATCTTTCAAAGAAAATTTGGGTGTTCACTAAATATGGAAAAGATGAATATCCGTTTATGGTGAAGATAGAGAAGAAGGGTGCAAGCCCCTGGACAATCCAAGGGGTGCTTGATACAAAACGGCCTGGTCAATTTAAGAGTTACCACAACCATGAGTTGGAGCTATTTTTGGAAGGATCGAGCTAGAGGAATGCTTTTAGTGCGGCAGATAGAAAATTAGTCCATGGTTTGTTGGAGTCACATGTGCTGGCAAAAAAAGGTCTAAATGTTCTTAATGAAGGGAAAGGAAATAAAGGTCAACATACTTAAAAAACAAATTTACAATGAGGATCTAAGATGAGAGTGGCAAGGTTGGCCGGCATGACACCTTTGGAGTGGACCTTCCAAGATGCTCGGAAGAAGGGATATTATGTTACACATTTGGAGGACCACAATGAGCTCACCCATCTTTTTCTAGCACACCCTGAGTCCATTTTAATGCTTAGAGCTTGGTACCACGTCGTTGTTATTGACTCTACTTACAAGACTAACGAGTATGGGATGCCATGCGTAGAGATTGTGGGTGTCACACTTGTGAATCTTAATTTCAACATTGCAGGTGTCCTAGTGCTTGATGAAACAAAGGATACCTACCTTTGGATTCTTCAACACTTAAAGCACCTTCTTGGAGATGTCATTCCGGATGCAATTGTGTCCGACAAGGAAGGCGGATTACTTGTGATTGTGGTTGAAGTATTTCCCTTGTCGAGGCATTTATTATGTGTATGGCACATTGAGCAAAATGTTCAAGAAAAGTGTATGACCAAAGTGTGCAAGCCGGGAGTTGACAAAGCAGCCGCGAAAAAGATCGTTGTAATCATCATAAAGGGTTGGAAAAGAGAGGTATATGCCCCTACAGTGGAAGAGATGGAGCTGGCCTTGAACGGCTTTAGACGTGGTTGAAGGGTCAATCGAAGAAGAAGCCGAAGCTAGACGGCAGTCTCCCTGGGAGCTGTATTTTTCTCACGATGCGAGGAAGGAGATAAGGACTGTTTGATTTGTTTTTTTTTTGTATTTCATTTCTTAAGGATACATAAGTAATTTTACACTTTTAAGTTAGGGCGAAAAAATAAACTAGGGCGAGGTTTAGCCATTCATAACTTTTATTATGGGCGTGTGACTCGACAAAAATAAAAATAAAATAAATAAAATTAAGCAAAATACACTTCATAGCAATAATTATTCACTTTGTGATACCAATAATCAAATTTTGAAAAATATACAGATATTGTCATTTCGTTTATAAAATTAGTGGTATTGTCAAGACTGCTGACCGGACAAGCAGTGGTTTGCAACCTGGCTATTTTTGTCTACGTGACATATGTTGGGTGGAATATGTATCTAATTTCAAAAATTGAAAAAAAAAAGTAGATGAAAATGCACTTTATCAGTTAATCTACAGTCACTTTACCATTTCGATCAACTTTTACCTAGTCTATTCTCACTTTTCTTCGTTCTCACTGAAACCCCTCCACCATTACTCTAGATCGAGGATGACACTTGATTACAAACATACCCATCCACCGATCCACCCCTCCATCAATTCACTCCTCAATTCAGTCTAGCTTGTCTCTTTGATCCACTCTTCCATCTTCATTCCTGCTTTAACAAAGGCAGACAAGCATCATCCAGCCAGTGAATAGACACCTTAATCGTCGCACCCCTCTCTAGGGGTGGGTATACGGTTCGGTAAACCCGAACCGAAACCTATTTGAACCAAACAGAAATCAAATTATTGTTATTCGGTTCGGAATTTGGAAGGGAAATGTGTCAACTTCGGAAACCAGGGTTCTTTAGACCAAACCGAGGTTCCAAATTTTGAACCGAAAAACCAAATTGTTGTTGCCCTAGCCAAATAACCATCCTAGCCCACACACTCACAGCCCATACTCCCCAGCCCAGTCTCTCACAACCCACCCTCTCACAAACCCTAAGCTCACTCCCCAACAACTATACTCCATATACAGCAGCCGTCAAAGCTCAAAGGGCGCCCGCCGCAACCCATCCACATCCTTTTGGCCAATCGATCTCTCGACAACCTTGTCGGCGGAGGGAGCTGCTGTTCGATCTCCCCTCTCTCCGTTCTCTTCTCCTCGCCCTATGCCTACCATTTAAACCAAGAAAATTGACCAAACAACGAAATCTCAGGCTATCAAAATCTAGAAAACCAAAATATGAACATAATAACTGACATGCATCAAAAGAGAAGAGGAATGGGCCGAGAGGAACAGAAGGTAGATTGTTGGAAGTGAAAGGATATTCGGCGAAGAGCACAGATCCTGGCCCTACGAGGGATCCTTGGCGGTGGGGGATTTATCCTCCTCTTCAATTGCGTCGTCGCCGACCACATGCAGGCGATGCTACAGTCGATGTTGCCTCCCGCTACCGCTGCCTGCCGTCGCGTTGTTATCAGTATCTTTGTCAACATCACGACGTCAATTGTCGTTGCTGCCACGCCGTTATCTCGGTCAATCATCGTTGCCGCCGCCGCATCGTTATCGGAGGAGAGACTAGAGAGAGAAGGTGGGGAGGGATTTTAATTTGGGGCTCAAAGTCTGCGAGATAGGGTAAATAGGCTTGGGTTTTTTCCTTTTAATTTTTCGAGTTTGAGCCTTGAATTTGGACCGAACCAAATTGAATTATATTTCGGTTCGAATTCAGTTTGCTGCATGGACTATTTTGGAGACCCGGAATGCTTAATTTCGGTTCGGTCGAAACCGAACCGACCAAATGCCCACCCCTACCCCTCTCCCAGTTTCAGACGACATTAGTGAACCCTAATCCATTGTTGAACCTGGCAAAGATGGCACCATCAAACCCTACCAACCCAGAATATTAACGCAAACCCGACGAACCCTAATCCCACTGTCACATGTTGAAGTATTCGTCTCTTTGGGTAGTGGTGAATGGTGAGTACCCATCAACTCTGGTTGTAGTGTTTGAATGGTGTAATGTTTATTAAAGGGTAGAGGTGGTATCTTTCTATGGGTGTAAGCGAGCTCTAAAGGTGGGAAAGCGACACAACAACTGTTTGAAGGGACCACAATTCTTCTATTTGCAAGATTGCCCCTAAATCATGGAAAAAATCTCTGAATACACTAGTTATTAAAAAAAAATCCCAAAATACAGTACTTATGAAAATATTTCCCAAAATACAGTCGTTTGATCATCACCACTGTAGACCAAGACAGTGAACATCATCACTGCTACATACAAAAAACGGTGAACCCTTCTCCGCTTTTGTAAAAAACGGTGAACACTTCACCACTGTCGTCCAAAACGGGGATATTTGACCACGTTTTACAACCCTGGTAGGTTGGAAGTTAGGTAACAGCGACCTAGCACTCACCGTCTTGGCCAAAAGCGGTGATGGTTCATCGCTATTGTCAAGCGCGGTGATTAGACCCCAAAATTTCCTATAAAAACCCAGTCCTCAGATTTCTCCAGCTGCCTTACAGCAATTCAGTACGAAATTAGTGCCTTTTTGGTCCTTTTCTCAGTTGGCTTACAACAACAAGAAACTCACCGGGATTCGGTATGTTATAATTATGTATTGTTTACATGTTGATGTATTAGTAATTATATGTCCGTATTTAGTGAATTTCGGTTATTGGCAAATATGTTATGTTAGAGATATTTAGATGAATTATGGTATGATTGATGTTAGTTAGTTATGAATTTAGATGAATTTGGATAGTTTTCTCATGATAGATCATTTAGTTGCGGTTGTTAATGGGTTTGGATGAAATTATTTTTGTATCCCTAATGTACTAATTATATTATAGTAATCTTATTCGAGTTAAGTTAATAGTTACTTATTGTAATTTGCAGACATGGGTAAATTTAAGAAGTTTCAGCTTATTATTCGGTGGAATGGTCGGGTGACAAACTCGGACTTTGGGATCGACTATGAAACTGGAGAATCCACTATGCTTAAAATTGAGTCGAGATTCACGTGGCAAGAACTACGTGACATTTGTGCATAAAGGACTTGTATGGACGGGCAAAGGAGAGTTGGTCAAATTACTTACCGTTATCCAAACATGAGTGCTGGCGGAGTTATGTACGAAGAAGTTGTCATAAATGATGATGACGCGGTGAACATGATGATACAGTTCCTATCTGACAACGGGATGCGACTTGCAGAAGTGTATGTCGAGACCGAGCAGGTCGGTGAAACTCATTCTCACCAATATTCTTGTGATGATGGTTTTGCAGGATGGTACGGCGGGGTGGTAGTTCAAGCAACATTGGAGGAGGTAGTTCTGCAGGAGGCTACGACTGGGGTGGAGGTCCAAGCAACTACGGAGGAGGTAATTATGCAGGAGGTGTTGGGTGGGAAGAATACCCGCAAAATGCTGAGACTGCCCAATTTGTTGAGCCTGACGGTGATCAATGGCCTGCTTGGGGGCCAGAGTGGGCTGACATTGAGAACCACCTTCGAACTGGGCGTACTTCACATGACCGAGAAGATGAGGTTGGTTATGTTGGTAACGATGATCCTCCTGAGCCGAGCTATCCATTCGCCTCCAACGACGAGGAAAGTGAGGAAGATTTGAGATCAGTCAGTGAGGATGAAGATACGGACGATATCGAGGATATCGAGGTGGCGTTCCGTGAGGCACCAACGCCTTACTATACAGAAGTTCCATCTCAATTTTTATATAGTCAGAACGATTCCTCTGACTTTCGCCCTATGCCCGTGTATAATCCGACTGCCAATTTGGAGGTGGGTATGGCGTTCACTTCGAAAGTCGATGTTCAAGATGCTTTTATCGAAGAAGCCATGCGGCGCAATTTCGAATGGAAGGTAAAATATTCTGACACCAAACAACTACATTTCATTTGCAAAAATGCTGGAGAGGGTTGTTTGTGGCAACTGCGGGCTGCAAATATGAAGATAAAGGGTGTCTGGGTCATTCGGACAGTAGAGAACAACCACGGTTGCTCCTCAAACATACTGTCCCATGATCACCGACAACTGAAAGCAAAGAAAGTGGCAAGAGCCATTAAGCACTTGATCGAGGCACAACCAGATATTAAAGTCAAAGCTATCATGGCCGAGGTGAAGGATTGACACTCCTACACGATCAAGTATAAGAAGGCGTGGCATGGGAAGCAGAAGACCATGGCTGAGGTCTATGGTGATTGGGACGACTCGTATGCTTTACTCCCTAGATTAATGGCCGCAATGGAGGAGTCCAACCCTGGGACTGTTTTCGTGCCCTGTTACAACAATGTATACACTGAAGATCAAGTTCGAGTACAGAACGAGTTGATGTTTCATCGTCTGTTCTGGACCTCCAAGCCATGCATTGATGGTTTTGCTTTCCGCATGCCAGTTATCCAGGTATATTACGGTCTAAGCAATGTTGTTGTGTTTCTTTTTTTTTTACTAAGTAATATTTATACTAACTATAAATAATTTTAACAGGTTGATGGAACTTTCCTTACTGGGAAGTATAAAGGAACTCTTCTCATTGCCACTAGCGTTGATGGAAATTTAAGTATTTTCCCCCTGGCGTTTGCATTAGTTGAAGGAGAGAACAACTTAAATTGGGCATGGTTCTTTGACATGCTACACTACCACGTCACACAAAGAATGTGCATTACAATTATATCTGATCGACATGACGGGATTAAGCACGCCGTGAATGGTTTCCCCGACGAACGGGGGTGGACATGGCGCTGGTGTATTCGACACTTTCTTGTAAATTTCTAGCACAAATTTGGGAAGAAGAAAGACATAAGAGATCGATTGTGGAGTGCATGTACTAATGTAATTTTGTGTTTGTTCATAGTTTACTTTTGATATGAAATTTCTCATGTCTTAATTATTTATTATGTTGTCTTGAAGCGGTTGCACATCAACCAAAGAAATACGAGCACAAGATGAAGGCTATCCGTCAGATACACCGTGCTGGTGCAGTATGGGCAGAAGGTCAAGATATGCAGATGTGGACATTCCACATGGACAACGGGGCTAGATTCGGCATTGCAACTACCAACCATGGCGAGAGCATAAATGGAGTCTACAAGGGCATTAGGGCAATGCCTGTATATGTCCTAGTGGAAATGACTTACTCGATGACTGATGGGAATAAGTGATTCCTACAAAACAAAAAACAAAACAAAAAAATACAATGTTGTTAGAAAAAAATAAAACAAAAACTTTTAAACTATTGAAATAATTTAAAATTTTATGCGGTACAGAGTGTCTACCGGATTATTGTCCAAAATTGCACGGGAGCGATGTTGTTCTTGCTCGTTTAAATATTTGCGATCCCTTGGGCCAGGATCGATATACAAACGAGGGTCGTATATCTCAGCACCCATCTATAAACAAATATGAAATGAAATTACAATATTTCAAACCCATTTAAAAAAATATAAAAAAGGTGAATTTTTTTCGTACTCTCAGAGCCTCTTCGTCTATTTTTTGCTGAAAAGTTGGAGAGAGTATCGACGAAACTTTAGAGCAAAGGATTGAAAACAAAATAAAAACTCTAGTAATTCTTTCTGATGTGGAAGATCAGACTTAGCCACAACCACAGAGCATACTTAGAACGAGACTAGAGTGAAGTAATGGAGGGAGAAAGAAGTATAAAAGTGGTGGTGTGGGTTGGAATGAGGGGGATGGAGTGGTATTTATATGAAGACCACAGAGCATTCCCCGCTCTGGTCCACGACGGTGAAACAAACCGCAATTCTCGAAGGCGGTGAAGTGCGCGGATCGTTGACGTGGCTTGGTTTGAGGCGTCGGATCTGGGAGAAAAACCAGAATCCGCGCCTCACCGCATCTGACGGTAACGGTGAAGCGCGCGGACTACAAGGATCGATGACATGGACAGCGGGGCTATCACCGCTTTTGTGATTAACGGTGAAGTGCCCGCGCGTGTCCACGTCAGCGATCCATGCCACTTCACCATTTTTGTAATCAACGGTCAGTGTCTCACCGTTTTTGACAAAAGCGGAGATGGGTTCACCGTTTTAGACGAATGCGGTGATAGTTTCCCCGCCTTTGTCTAAAACGGTGAACCCTTTACCGTTTTTGTATGCAGCGGTGATGATGCTCACTATCTTGGTCTACAACGGTGATGATCAAACTGCTGTATTTTGGGAAATATTTTCATAAGTACTGTATTTTGGGAATTTTTTTAGTAACTATTGTATTCTGGGATTTTTCCCCCTAAATCATAGGGTAAGAACCTCAAACATCTGGATACAATATTTAATGTTTGTGATGAATTCATTGCGTTGAAATAAGTGAATTGAATCTGATTTTTTTTTTATAACCCAGAGAACCTCAGCCTCACGTGGCGCTTGAGCGACAGCGGGGCCTATTAAACCACTTGGGGTACCTGCATACTAACCGGGGCTTTCTGCTACCAACATCGGGGAGGCTTTGCCCCCGATACCAAGGGTGCCGCCGGGAACGCTCAAGTGGCGCCACATCTAAAGCTCAATTGGTCCAGTGGTTTCACCACTAAGCTATGTTACCTTTGGCAATTGAATCTGAATTCTTGAATTGCATGTTGGTTGTATATGCTTTTTTATTTTGTGAGTAATATGTATTTAAATAAAGTTTATGAAGTAAATGATGGATTTTCAACAGACGACACATTCTTGGGACGAGTTGAAAATGAATTTTTTAAAGTGAAAAATGAAATTATTTTTTTCATTTTTCAATTTTGTAAGTGAATATAAATAGTAATAAAAAAATTCATTTTCAATTCATTTTTATTTAAAATGAAAAAAATAGTAATAGGTGGAAAATATTAAAAACATTGAGTGAAAGGTGCTGACTTGGCGGTGATGTGGCGCATCGACCGTCCAAGATAACGGTCAATTTTTCGGGTTTGGCCAATTTCGTTACTTTTGTGTATAGTTCAGGTCATTATGTTATAAATCGAAAAGATTGGCCAGGATGTTTATTATGTGAAAGTTCAGACCACACAAATATATTAACCCATATAAAATTGCATTCTTTAGATTAATTTAATTATTGAGATTTTTTGTTTAGATAAATAATATATTTTAATATGTAATTATTTATATTTATTTTGTTATAATGTGAGCTTTAAAATTATTTTCACGGAAATTTTTGATTAATCATAATCTATGATATGGGAGCTAAATTATAAGTTTTGTCACTTAGTCACTTTATCAAATTATCACGCTTTTCATAAAAATATTTATCTTGTTAATCACTGACTTTAAATCTCATTTCATTGTTGATCACTAGCCACATAATTTCGTTAAATTTGTTTTAAATGACAGTCAACTATAACATTTTATCATTAGATAGATTATGTAACAATTAAAAATATAAAAATGTTAATTTTTACTAATGTAAAGTTTTATACAAATTATAATTTTTCAGAAAATTATTCTAAGCAAAATTTTTTTTTAAAAATATGTCAAATGATAATGTTACTAAATTTAAAATAAAAAACGAAGAAAAAAAAGAGTTGTAAGGCGGTACTATGACTTTTATTTATTAGCATAGTTGTAAAAAAAAAAATTGGTACGCCAGCCAATACAACCGGTATTGAATACATATCCGCTAAAAGATCACTCGTATGAAGCGCTAGTCAAAACCAGTAAAAAATGATTAAAAATGAGAAGACGGTGAATTTCCGTTCTCTAAAGAAAATAATATGGTTTGGTGGAATTAACTAACTAAACGAAATAAATTTGTCGTATTCAAGTATGAACGTTTATATGTTGATTTTATTTATTGAATTCAAATATAAACGTTTGGAAGTTGACGTTAAATATTGCATTTAAATATAATAATTCGTCAAAAAAATTATAATATAGTATTTTATTTAAATATGAATAGAGATTAATTATATGTACATAACTTTAAGATAGATTATATCAATACACAATTCATTAGTGTTAATGATTTCCTATTTTCTCATACATTTTTATTAAAGACATAAACCAACATATATATAGACCAATTGTACACCACTTACTAAACTAGTGTAACGGTGTAAACCGATTTCACAACCTGACTTCTCGGCACCATAGCCGTTTCCCCTCAGCAGCGCGGACAGCCGCATGGCCCCATATATCACCAAAGAGAACGGACAGACACTTGACATCTAATAATTTAACTCACCTAATAATACACCAAAAACTCGCATAAGCAAAAGAAAAAGGCCATACCAAAACTTCATCAAGCCGATCGAATCCGCGCAGTCTGAGTTATATTCCAAACACGTCCAAATAACAAGCGTTGCTAATAAATTCATTTTTTTATGAATTTAATTATCAGTTACCAAGAAACCACAGGGAGTCGGAATTAGCCCCCGCTAAACGTGCGATCATTTCCATTTCCGCAACGACAAGAGAAAATAGCAAATGTTAGCCACCGTAGCCATGGTCATCGTCGGCCTATGGATGGGCTGCAGCGGCGGTGGTCATCAGCAAGCAAGTGCGGTTGACGTAATTCTGTACACCGCCGCCTGCAACGACAAGGAGTTTCCGGCGGGGGATACGACGTCGTTTGGGTGTGCGGAGGGCCTGCTTGGACATTTGATTGACATGGGCCCCGTGACTAGTAGCGGCAGCCAGAGTGATGATACCGTAACTTGCAGCGGGGGCGGCGGAAGAGTGAGGATCAGAGGTTGGGTAGAGACAGGCGCCGGGCTGTCTCCCGACGACACGCTCAGGTGCCGTCGCGAGGCGATGGGTGTGCTCCATGACCGATGCTACAACCGCGTCGGAGCTCGAGTGTGGAGGACGGACGGTGAGAATCGACGAGTTTGTTTCATTCAATATGAGAAACTGTTGTAATGGCATGGGCTCGCTGCCGTATCATTTCATATGATTGAGGGATTGTTGTGCTGGCATCTTCACATTAAAAATTCGAATTTTATGACCAACAACAAAAATATAACATGAGTTCTTCTATGTGTAATTCAGTACTACACGCTACCATGATCTGAGAAGTGAAAAGGGGTTTGTATAAATCATTGATGGTGTGGCTTAGATGTTACATATCAGGGAACTGCCTACACCATCTAATCTCTGGGGACTTTACTACGATGATTTGGTTTAAAGTCCAAGTAAAACTTATTTCGAGTCTGTTGGTTATATATCTTTGTTGTTGATCAATAAGGACAAAAACCATGTCAAACAAACCCAAAAACATTCAATTTATGCACATAAGCTAGTCGACCTGATCAAGTCGATGGTTAATTATTTTTATCGAACTATCATCTAAAATACAACTACGAAATTATGTTGATGTAAACATCTTCCTTTGAAATCAATCGACAAGAGGTGAAACACGGTTGACCTTCATAAATCACACAAACTATATCACATATTATCACTGAATCAGTCAATCAAATTAGTCAATCGGTTAATTGAAGTTGTCTCGCCGGATTCCAAGTTTACATTGGAGTTTTATCGTACCCATTGTAAATCTGGGGGTATCGGATACCCTGAGTAAGAAATGCTATTTTGATCTTATATTGATCAGACTTTGGGACATTATATTATACCCTAAATTGAAGTCTTAATTCTCTAAATCTTTATACAATAAGATCAATCTAATTAGAAACAATAATCAAAATTTACTATTTTTTTAAAATACATGCAACAAACTGCATGCATCATCTTAGCGTTTATGATTTGGATAATTAGGACATACTACATAGAATTCATTCGTTGAGTTAGGTTATAGTATTATGCCCCTGAATTTGGTTAATTTACGGTCTAGATAACGTTTTGTACTAAGTATATACAGTGCACAAAATTTATATATCTTGAGTATGATAGAAGCCACATTAAGCGAGGTATATTCTGATGGAAAGCCTACACAAATTAGTTAGATTGTAAGTTACGGGCTTTTTTTTTTTTTAAGAAACCATTCATTCATTCCCTTAGAGATTGGTACAATTACAGGATAACAGAGATGATATTAAGAACAACAAGCCAGTCCTGGTGGAGGGTGTTTAATCTAGCATTTCGGGCAATCCAGTATGCTTCTTTGTTGTTCCGTCGGCAAGTGAAGGCAATGTTGATCCAATTGGACACCTGGATGATACGTTGAATGGAGGAGAGGATGGCGTAGCAGTTCTAGGGCCACAAATCCGAGTGGTTCTTCAGAGCATCGACTAGAGCTTTACAATCTGAAAATATAGTTGATGGGACATGCTCTCTCATCGCCAACTTACATGCTTCCAACAAAGCGTAGGCTTCAATCTCTATAGGGGATGAACAAACAACCCGTCCAGCCTTACCATCAACAAACTGTCCATGAGGTTTAGTAATAACCATCCCATAAGCCGCCTCTCTTGAAATAGGATCGAAAGAACCATCACAATAAATCCTACTCGTGAGTGTTGTTGGCGGTGGACACGGTTGTTGATGATCGTCCCTGGGCTGTGAGACGGGAGACGAGGAAGTGATCATCGTCTGAGGCTCAGCTGCATCTCGAAAAGCTTGAAAGGAGGAGGACGCCGGGGACACTGTCTCACTTCGAAAGATGAAGCCATTAGGGCCTTCCAAATATTCCAAAGACAGAAAACCTTTCTCCTTGTGATCGCAAGATCTGGTTCTTCTCGCAGGCCACAGATCCAATTAGCCAAGTTAGGAGGAGGGGAAGTAGATGGAGAGACGATTCCCCAAGTCGCCGCTGCATGGGGGCAAACAAAGAGGCAATGGATAGCCGATTCAACCTGAGCTCCCAGATCTGGCATTTCTTATCGGGGGAGCATCTCCGGTTATGCAACTTTTCTCTGGTAGCAAACGCTCCTCGAATGCATCTCCAAAGGAAAAAGCGGATCTTTGGGGGTAAATTGATCGCTCGAAGCCATTTCCACACCTCGTCACTTGTCGGTATATTGAGGTCCACTAGAGCTGGGTCGGCCTCTCTCAAATGTGCACGAAGGCCATGATATGTTGTTCTCACCGAGAAGGCACCATTGGGAGTAGGCCGCCATGCCCATTTATCATTCGTATTGAGAGGGCCAATTGGAACTCGATAAATAGCATCAACTTCCTAGGGAGAGCACTGTTGTTGGATTAAGTCAAGGTTCCATCATCGCTCCTCAACATTAATCCAATCACTGACTCTAAGAGAAGGGTCAACAACAGTAGAAAGGCGGTGGTCATCCAGATTTGGAATCCAAGGATCCCTATTAATCCAAGTTCCATCTCCATCTCCAATAACCCGAATTAAGCCGATGTCGAGGGCTTGCCGTGCATCACAAAGACTTGCCCAAATCCATGACGGAGAGCTCCCTTTCCTCACCGAGCGGAAATCCCCATTGTTGAAATACAATCCTCGAAGAAGACGTGCCCACAGAGATTCAGGCTCATTCAACAACCTCCATCCTTGCTTAGCAATAAGAGCTAAATTGAAGATATGGAAATTGCGAAATCCCAGGCCACCATCTGCTTTTGGATCACAAAGGATTTGGCCCTTACACCAATGGAGGCCCTTCTTCTGCATCTTCCCAGACCAAAAGAAATTACGCACCAAAGAGTCCATCTTCCTAGTCAGACACAATGGTAGCAGGAAGACGCTCATAATGAAGGTGGGGATTGCTTGTATGACTGACTTGAGCAGAGTCTCCCTCCCCCCCCCCCCCTGAGACAACAACAAGCTCTTCCATGATTCTCCTCTCTTCTCCATTCGACTGATGAGGAAGCTGAAAGTCTCTTTCCTGGACCGTCCCCACTACGTCGGAACCCCTAAATATTTGTCATGAGTAATAGTCGGCGGAAATCCAATATGGGCAGCGATCTGGGTTCTCAAAGAATCCGGAGTGTTCTTGCTGAAAAAGATCGAAGACTTCTCCAAGTTCACCTCTTGCCCGGTAATATGACTGTATCCATTGATTATGCTCATAATCGTAGTTGCCTCCTCCACTGAAGCCTCCCCAAAGATGACTGTATCGTCGGCAAATAAGCAATGGGACAACCTTGGGCAGCTCGGCTTCAGTTTCAGGCCATGAATCGCTCCCTGCGAAGTTTCTTTATCCAACAAAAAAGATAGAGCATTAGCCATAAGGATGAAGAGAAAGGGGGAGATAGGATCACCTTGGCGGATACCCCTCGAGGGTGTGAAGAACTCCGTTGGACCTCCATTTATGAGGATGGAAAACCTCACAGTTCTGACACATTCCATAATCCATTCACACCATGTTTGATTAAAGCCATACGCTTGAAGGAGGGAAGTGAGGCACTCCCAATCCACCAAGTCATAAGCCTTCTGCATGTCCATTTTCAACATCATGTCGTACTTTCTACCCTGGTGGCGATTTTTGATGTGGTGCAAGACCTCATGAACAATGATGATGTTATCTTGAATCACTCGACCTCTAGTAAATGCAGCCTGCATTTCTGAAACAAGATATGGTATTATTGGTTTCAGCCTGCTTGCCATGATCTTGGAAATCACCTTATACTTGAAATTGCAGCAACTTATCGGCCGAAATTGCTAATCATCTCTGGAGATGAGATTTTTGGAATAAGAGAGATATGAGTATCATTCCAACCTGATGGGAGAGAGGACTCCATGAAGAAAGATTTGACCTCTTCACAAAAATTGTCCTCAATTGATCCCCAATAGTTCCCGTAGAATTGTCCTGAAAAACCGTCTGTACCTGGTGATTTGTGAGGTCCAAGGGAGAACACAGCTTGTTTAATCTCCCCATTTGTAACCGGTCTGCACAAGATATCATTCATTTCCTGAGAAACAAGTTGTGGGAAGCCTTGCAGGAGGTGTCCATCAAAATCCATGCCTCTGCCAGAGAATAGATTTTGATAGAAACCCTTAATGTGGTTAGTAAGGTCAAGTGGTCGCTTGATCCATGTACCCCTTTCATTCTTCAATCCCACAATCCGGTTAAAATGTCGACGCAAAACAGTGGTAGAGTGAAAGAATTTAGTGTTCCGATCCCCTTCTGCAAGCCACTGAATCCTGGACCTCTGCCTCCACATTTTCTCTTCATCCCTCCAAAGAGAGTCCAGTTCCTCTAATAAGATCCTCTCCTCTTCTTCTGTTTCTTCAGTTTGAATCAGATACTCTAGGGCCTCCAACCTGTCTTTGATTTCTGTTTCACGTTTTTTATTGATCCCGAATCATCCTTCTTGCCCAGTCTTTGAGCTCACCAGCACATCTCTTCTATCTTTGTTTTATGTTTCCCTCCGCAGCCCAAGTTGCAAGAACAATGACGTCACATTCATCCTTACCGATCCAGCGAGAGTCAAACCGAAAGGGTGGCTTATTCCGATTTCCTCGTGAGTGTAATTCAATCCTCACAGCTCTATGGTCCGAGCCAATGTAACTCTCATGATAGATGGTAGCTTCCCCAAAGTTTTCTCTCCATTCAGGAGTACATAGTGCTTTGTCCAGCCTCCCTTTGAATTCTCTTATACTAAAAGAAAGTATTCCGATTGACTTTTGCTACTCATTATTTTGCAATATGCAAAATGAATCCGACCAACTGGGCAGGTCCATATTGCTTCAAACAAATTACTATTGTTATTTATACTATTTATGAAATGCATCCGGCCAACGGGCCGGTAATGAATGGCACTAAATTCACACGTCTAATGTACCTAACCGTTGGTTGTAAATTGTAAAATGGTTCACACGCCCGCACACAACCCCTGCTCCATATTGAACGGCGGGTGGCACGTTTTTACACACTAACCATTAACTAACGTTCCAGCACTGGCAATCTCAATCTACCATAGTCCCCTTCGCGTCTTCCTCTTCCCATTACAAAAATTCCCCAAATAAAAACAAAATTACCCCAACCTTGCAAAATCAAAAGCTAGCTTAGCTTGCCATGGAGCAGAGCAACTTGAGGAGGACATTGTGGGTGCTGTTTCTGGGCCAGGCCGTTTCTTTCTCCCTTGCCCTCACCAGCTTCTCTTCTTCACTCGTCGCCGCTCTTGGTAACCCACATCAATCATGCATGAAAACAATCAGATGGATTCATCATTCCCCCACCATTTTAGATTCTGAATCATTGGGTTTTCACTGTTTGCTCTCTCAGGGGCTGATGCACCCATCGCCCAGAGTTGCTTCAGCTACTTCGGTTTGGCCTTAGTTTACGGCAGCATATTCCTTCACAGACGCCATAAGCTACAGGTAATCAACAAAAAGAGTACATCTAAAAACAAACTCTGTTCTTTTCTTCGTGGCCCTTAGACCATCATATATTTTGCAGGTTGCTTGGTATTGGTATCTCCTCCTGGGATTCATCGATGTGCAGGGCAATTATCTGGGTAAAAACTGACTGTTACTCTATTGCTGCTATGGGCTGTGCTCTGTTTTCTCTCATCTAATGTCTTGTCCCTCTGTTTCCCCTGCTCCGGCGGGGTTGCTTGAATTCCCATTCCGCAGTGAACAAAGCGTACCAATTCTCGTCAATTACGAGTGTGACGCTGCTGGATTGCTGGACCATACTGTGGGTCATCATCCTGACGTGGCTGGTCCTGGGGACTCGCTATTCCATCCTCCAGCTTCTTGGTTCCGCCATTTGTGTTCTCGGCCTTGCTCTGGTTCTCTTCTCCGACGCTTGGGTGGGCGGTGGCGCAGGTGATCCCCTCTCCCAACACAACATGACTAGTTTCTCTGATCAATACTCATTGCATCTAAAAAAAAAACTCCATTACCGAGAAAAAAAACTCTTGGCAGGCGGTTCGAGGCCTCTTCTGGGCGACACGCTAGTCATCGGCGGAACCATTTTCTTTGCTCTCAGCAATGTAGGCGAGGTCTGGATTTTTCTCACCACTTCTATTTTAGCATTTTTTATACTTTTAACAGTTCAAAAAATTTGTAGCAGAAAATAAGACGCCGTCTGTGGGGATCGAACCCACGACCACGTGGTTAAAAGCCACGCGCTCTACCACTGAGCTAAGAAGGCTGATTGATATCAAATTTAAGTCTATATATTTACTATAACGTCTGCTGGTTTTGAGACAATGGAACCATCTTTGATTACGGACGGTTTGTCTCCTGAGAATTGCAGGAGTTTTGTGTGAAGAGAAGAGACAGGATTGAAGTTGTCATGATGCTTGGTGTTTTCGGTCTACTTGTCAGCTTGGTCGAGTCGTATCCTTCTAATAAATTAGTTTTTTTTTTTACAACTGTCATTCCATATAATAATTTTGATTTCGGACGATTTTCTTTAACTTCTGAATCGTAGATTTGTATTCGAACGCGAGAGTATCAAATCAATAAATTGGTCTGTGAATATTGTAAGTAACTAAGCACATTACCCGCTAAAAAAAAATTCACTTTGCTCTGGTTCGATATGTTTAGAGATCTTACCTTTGTTATGATTTCAGGTATTAGCTATTGCAGGTTATACAATATCTATATTTTCATACTATACACTCACTCCTTATGTGTTGAAGGTAAAAATTACTCGCGCGCCGTGAAGCAAAGCAAAAATATCGGGAGATATATAACTCATTTGATTGTGTACAATTGTACAAATAATTTGTTTTTTGGTGGCCATTTGTCACAGTTGAGTGGAGCCACCTTGTTCAACCTCTCCATCCTAACTTCTGATATGTGGGCTGTCCTTATTCGCATATTTTTCTATGGTCAAAAGGTAATAATTAGCTTTTTCAAGGCTGCAAAGAATTATTAGTTGCCATGCATGCTGCTTATGAAATATATGGTGTTATGTCTTCATGATCAATAATGTGTAGGGCTGGTTATTTGGTCCGGTTTGTTTGGTTCTACCCAAAACAGGATCGTATAGTTCGGATTGGGATCGGACTGGGATCGGATAACAAACAATCCAGTCTCATATTCGGGTTTAGATTTGAGGTATAAAAAAAAACCCGAATAAAGACCGGATAAGAGACCCCCAACACCTAAAACCAAGATCAAATTGGGACCGGACCGGGTCAAGACCAGACCGAATCAAGATCAGATTGTATCCAATCCAATCTTTGGTCCTTATATTCCCGAAAAGACCGGACTCGGACCGGATCAATTTGATCCAATTTAACCGGATCGGACCATTTAGTCACCCGTAATAATGTGGGAATTGGCATTGATTGATGCAGGTGGATTGGCTCTACTTCCTTGCCTTCTTGATAGTCACCATTGGCATAGTTATCTACTCCGCTAAGTAAGTTCCCACAATCGCGCTACTACTTTGTTTCCCACATACAAAATGTTTAGGACTTTGTCAGAATGGATCTCAAAACTAATTTTGGATTTGAATTGTTGTGACAGTGAACAAGATTTCAATGCAAACGTCCCCAAAATAAATGAAGGAGATGAAGATTCAGAATACCAACTACTTGATGACGACAATACAAAAGTTGTCGAAAATGAATGTGTGGTGCCATAATTTTTTTTTCTACTTTCAAATAAGTTTGGATAGTTTTATTAAGTGCATATGTACAATTGCTATGCAATTATATGATATGAGAAAGTAGGAGCTACATTTCACCCACCTCGTGGCAGGTTTATGATTACAAATTTTACTTAATTGAGGTTTCAGCATATATAGCTTTCTTTGTCTTAGTAGTATAATTTAGACAAAATATACATGCATAGCCACAATTTTACATTTTTTTGTCAACAATAACCACTTTTTGAACAATACACAGTTATATAGTTACACTTTAAAATTTTGTTTGACTAATTTAACCATTTTCGTTAAATATTATAACGGCAACGACCGTTTCGTTAGTTTAGTGGACGTTGCGCTGACGTGGCCACCATCTGGACGACACCTATCGTTCACCTAGACTGATTGTGTCCACGTAATTGTCACGTCATTTTTTAAATTACAAAAATTACCCTATCTAATATGGTCCATCCGCAGCCCTGATTTATTTGCCCCCCTCTAATCTGATTTCCCCCCATTATTAAGGCTTTCGACTTCGCTCTGCCGCCGGAGCTTCTCGGCCGACACCTTTTCCACCTTTTCACCACGACTAGACCTATAAAAGAGCAAATAATATGTATTAGATTAACAACCCACAGCTACACCATTCAAACGAAGGAAGCAGAGGAAGTGACGAGTAAGCACCAGTCCCCAAAACCCAAACTTCACTTCTTCTCGAACTGCCGAACCTGGATTAGGGTTTTCCGCTGATCGTGTTCACCATTGCTAATCGGGAATCGCCGGGTTCGATGATGCAGCCTTCACCAGTAGTAGTTCCGTCGTAACCAGGGCCGACGTTCGTTCCCATCTGCCGGCAGGATGCTTGCTGGCTTTGTGGAAGATTAGAAATCATGGTGAGATGAAGTGTGATGGTGATGGACGCCGGGAGCACGCACTATAGGAAGCAGGACTCGGCGGTCATCGATTGGGACTGGCTCCGTCAACAGTCAGTGGTCCTTCTTTGGTCGGAAACAATGGTGTAGGTTTCGTCGGGTGAAAATGAGAGGAGGATTGTGGGGAGGGGTTAATGTAGTAATCACCATGGTTACTAAGGGTAATTGGCTATGGAAAATTAAATTATATTAGTTAATTTTTTAATAAATTATATTTTGAGAAATTACAAAAATATATGAATTACAATTCTCTCTCTTCCTTATTTTTCCCAATCTTCCAGTAATCTCCAGCCAGATCTTCTTTCCTTATTTTTCTCAATCACTACCACTTCGAAAAAAATCAATACCATTATAACAAAAAACAAGAAATCAATACCAATCCATTAGACAACCACTACCACTTCGTAAAACACTACCATTGCACAACACACCAATACCATTCTAGAAATAAAAACACTACCATTTCACAAAGCACCAATACAATTGCAGATTTAATCAATACCAATACATGCAAATTAATATCATTACCTGATAATCAATATCAAACAATTAGACAACCACTACCACTTTGAAAAACACCAATACCATTGTGGAAATAAATCAATACCGTTATGAAATTGATATATTTACACTAAAACTAATTGGAATTAAGGGAAGGGAACCGACAGACCTTTGGTGGCGGTATGGAGAGGGAGGAATCTGAATAATCAATAAACTAATTAAAGAGTGAGGGATTGGGGACACCGAGATAGAAAGGAAGAAGCAGTAGGGTGGAGGCACGAGGAGGAAGGATTAGGAGATGAGAATAAGAGGGGATTACCGGAGGCAGGCAGAGTGCTCCCCGCGTCGTCCATGGGGAGTAATCTCAGGACGGAGGGGAGTGATGAGGTGGATGCGACGTTGAGTCCGGAGGTGGTGGATGGAATGACGATGGGAGGTTGTGGCTGCGGCGAGTTTAGTTGGAGGAATGTTTGGGTTAAATATATAAAATAATCAAGTTTGGTTACATTTTTGCTTCCAAAATTATCCCTAAGCAATCTTATCCGTGAGATTAAAAAAAGGTAGAAAAGATAAAAATGGATGGCAGATACTAAGGTAGCCACGGTGACTACTAAAATTTTGGTAGCCGTTCTAACGCATTACGAGGTGTGTGGGGAATAGGGATAGGTGAAAAGAGTAAAGTGAAGGGGGAGACGGGTTTTTATCTCATTTTAGTTTTTGTTAATTAAAATGGATCCTTTTCTAACGCATTAAGTAGGCCATCACCGCGTGGGACATGTCACATGTGGCAGATGACATGGCGCCAACAAGGTGACAACATGGCAGCAGCACATGTGGCATGCATGGAAGACTAGTAGCATAGAGATGCTCCTAGGATTCTCCACCATAATGTAGAGCTTTATAGTGCACTTATGAGTCACATAATGGTGACATTGATAGAGTGCATAATGGGGGGACTTAATGGGGTGTATTGATGTAGTAGAGGGACTTAATGAGGGGCATTGATGCCTTGTATGTGGAGAGGCCTATATAAGGAGCCATCTCCCTCATTTGTACTCATTCCATCATTTTTTAGAGTAATACACACTAGAGAGTTCTCCCACTTCCTTTGTCTTTGTTCTTGTTCTTTGCTTTCAAGTGAGTTGAGAGAAAGGCTGCCTAGCGCTCTAACGGAATTGAGAGCTAGGGCCGCACGATCGAGAGTAAGGTCGTGACAAGTGGTATCAGAGCCTGGTTCGGCTTTGTGCTAGCAAAGTTGAACCTAGAGCCAGAAGGAAAGGAAGAACCTCACCAAAAATGTCGGGATCAGAAGTTCACGACGATGAGAGGCATCGTGGAAGGGATGCCGTAAAGAATACCAAACCAAAGGGTGAGAAGTCAAGCACTCGTGATCCTATGACGTCTCTAGAGAGGCGTGTCTCTAGAATGGAGGTGAAGTTGGCAGAAGACATCAGTGCCATCGAAGATTTGGGAGCAAACTTCACCCAAGTCGAAAGCGATTTTCAAGGTATGAATGCTCGTTTGTCGAGCTTGGAGGTTGGTAATGATGGCTTACGAGAAGAGCTTGTGGCCCTCATCAACAACACCATCACCACATCCTTGAACAACGCCGTTGGAGTTGTGAAAGAGCAAGTCCAGGCTGAACTGATCGGCGTGAAGGAGGAGATTGCAGATCTCAAGAGTGAGGTCACTCTCGTGAAGAGAGCCATGGCTAGCGGACCAGCCACGGTGCAATCCGTCCCACGTGCTGATATTCCAAGACCAAAGAGCTTCGGAGGTTCACGGAATGCGAGGGAGTTAGAGAACTTCCTTTGGAGTCTTGAGCAGTACTTCAAGGCGTCCGGCATCCAAGAGGATGAGGTAAAGATTCGTACCGCTCCACTTTACTTGGTTGATGTTGCCATGGTGTGGTGGAGGCGACGTGAAGCGGACGTCGAGAAAGGTACTTGTGTGATGGTAACGTGGGAAGATTTCAAGAGAGAAATCAAGAAGCAGTTCTACCCAGAGAACGTGGAGTTTGAAGCCCGTTCGAAGTTGAGAAGACTCACCCAGAGGGGTGGAGTTCGAGAATACGTGAAAGAATTCTCGGAGCTGCTTCTAGAGATCCCGGACATCACGGACAAGGAGGCCATGCACGGCTTTCTTGATGGGCTGCAACCATGGGCCAAGATGGAGATGCAACGTCGAGGAGTGCAAGACCTTGCAACTGCCATGGCCACGGCAGAGTCTTTTGTCGAGTACAAACGACAAGAGAGCAGCGGCAGAGAGAAGAGTTCGAAGCCCAACAAAGGTGGAGAACAGCAGAAGCCTTTCAAGGAGGGTTCTCGCACTCAACAACACCAAGGTGGTTCGAGCAAAGGGGGTAAGTACGAGCCAAAACCCATGACTTGTTTCCTTTGCGACGGACCACATCGAGTGCGAGATTGCCCAAGAAAGGCGAGATTAGCAGCCATGGAAGCTCAAGATGAGGAGCCCAAGGCGGCGGAGGCCAAGATTGGCTCAATCCGCAAGCTTGGCGCGGCGAAGACCGACGTCAAGGAGAGCAAGCGGGGGAGGTGCTATGTTCTGGCGCAGTTCATGCAAGGCGAGTCAAAAGCCTTGGTGGATACCGGTGCCACGGACAACTTTCTTCGTGTCGAAGAGGCAAACCGGCTGGGTATTGCCTACGAGAAGGGGCAAGGGAGGCTCAAGACGATCAATTCAGAGTCCATCCCGATCCATGGAGTTGCTCACAACGTACCAATGAAGCTTGGCGGGTGGGAAGGCCTCATCGACTTTTCCGTCGTCACCATGGACGATCACCCAGTCATCCTCGGCATCCACTTCCTCGACAAGGAGGGAGTGCTTTTGAAGCCCAACTCCAACACGATGTGCTTGGAGAAAGAAGGGGAGTTCCATTCGGTTCATCTCTTGAGAGAAGATGGTCCCCATAGTGCTCTATCGGCCATGCAAGTGGTGAAGGGGTTCAAGAAGAATGAACCAACCTTTCTTGTGTCCTTGAAAGTGGAGGAAGAAGGAGGCTCAACGGGAATCACAACTCCCATCATCGAAGGTGTCCTCGAAGAGTTCGATGATGTGATGCCATCGGAGTTGCCCAAGAAGCTGCCACCAAGAAGAGAGGTGGACCACAAGATCGAGTTGGAGCCAGGAGCGAAACCCCCTTCGCGAGCACCATACCGCATGTCGCCACCGGAGTTAGAAGAATTGCGGAGGCAACTCAAGGACTTGGTGGACGCAGGCTACATGCGGCCATCGAAGTCACCTTTTGGAGCACCGGTGCTGTTCCAAAAGAAGAAGGAAGGGTCGTTGCGGATGTGCATCGACTATAGAGCCATCAACAAGTTGACAGTGAAGAACAAGTGGCCGATTCCCAACATTGCCGTCTTGTTCGACCAGCTTGGAGATGCGATGTGGTTCACCAAGCTAGATCTTCGCTCGGGCTACTATCAAGTGCGGATAGCAGAGGGCGACGAGCCAAAGACGGCTTGTGTGACGAGGTATGGCTCTTACGAGTTTCTTGTGATGCCATTCGGTCTCACCAACGCACCAGCCACGTTTTGCACTTTGATGAATCAAGTGTTCGAGCCATTCTTGGACCGGTTTGTCGTGGTCTACTTGGATGACATCGTCGTGTATAGCAAAACACTCGATGAGCATGCCGAGCATCTACGCCAAGTCTTCCAAGTCCTTCGCGACAACGAGTTGTACGTCAAGAGGGAGAAGTGCACATTTGCCGCCACGGAGGTTCCATTCTTGGGGCACGTCATTGGTGGAGGCAAGTTGAAGATGGATGGAGCGAAGGTGCAGGCAATCCAAGAATGGGAGCCGCCGACGAAGGTGCCAGAGTTGCGGTCATTCCTCGGCCTTGCCAACTACTATCGGAGGTTTATCAAGGGCTACTCCAACATTGCAGCACCCTTGACGGATCTCTTGAAGAAGAACAAGGCGTGGGATTGGTCGGAAAGGTGCCAAGAAGCGTTCGAGGCCTTGAAAGCAGCGGTGATGAAGGAGCCCGTGCTCGTGCTCCCCAACCCGACGTTGGCCTACGAAGTGCAGACCGATGCGTCCGACTTTGCAATCGGGGGCGTGTTGATGCAAGATGGGCATCCCATTGCCTTCGAGAGTCGGAAGCTCAGCGAGACGGAGAGGCGATACACCGTTCAAGAGAAGGAGATGACGGCCGTGGTGCATTGCTTGCGCACATGGAGGCACTACTTGTTGGGGTCAAAGTTCGTAGTGAAGACGGACAACGTGGCAACGAGCTACTTTCTGACGCAGAAGAAGCTCACCCCTAAGCAAGCAAGGTGGCAAGACTTTTTGGCCGAGTTCGACTTCGTCATGGAGTACAACCCAGGCAAGGCGAATTCCGTTGCCGATGCTCTTAGCCGCAAGAGTGCAGCCGCAAGCATCAGCCAGCCCACGTTTCCTTTGAAGGAGCGGATCGTTGAAGGCCTTGGCCATGACCCCTTCGCCAAAACCGTAGCAGAGTACATTGAGCAAGGTAAAACTCGGCGGTTTTGGATGAAGGATGGGCTCATCATGACCAAGGGAGAGCGGATGTTCGTGCCAAGATGGGCCAACTTGAGGAAGGAGATCATGAAGGAGTGCCATGATTCCAAGTGGGCGGGCCATCCCGGCATCGAGAGAACGCAAGCGCTCATCGAAGAAGCATATTTCTGGCCGCGTATGAGAGACGACGTGGAGATGTATGTGAAGACTTGTCTTGTGTGCCAACAAGACAAGATGGAGCAGAGAAGCCCGGCAGGCTTGCTAGAGCCCTTGCCCACGCCTCAACGACCATGGGAGAGTGTGAGCATGGACTTCATCATCGGACTTCCCAAAGTCGATGGATGCGGTTGCATCATGGTTGTGGTGGACAGATTCTCGAAGTATGGAGTGTTCATTCCTGGGCCAAAAGACTTAACGGCGGAGGATGCGGCACGCCTATTCTTCAAGAACGTGGTCAAGTATTGGGGCATTCCTAGCAGCATCGTGAGCGACAGAGATGGGCGCTTCACGGGCAGATTTTGGCGAGAGTTGTTCAAGATCATGGGCTCAAACTTGAACTTCTCGACGGCATTTCATCCTCAAAGCGACGGACAGACGGAGCGGGTGAATGCCTTGTTGGAAGTGTACTTGCGGCACTACGTGAGTGCAAACCAACGAGATTGGGTGAAGTTGATGGACACGGCACAGTTCTCCTACAACTTACACCGCAGCGAGTCGACCAACACAAGTCCATTCGAGTTGGCGACGGGGCAGCAACCTTTGACACCTACGACGGTGGCAACGGGGTATAGAGGCAACAGTCCGGCGGCCTACAAGTTCGCTAAAGGTTGGCACGAGAAGATGGAGATGGCCAAGTCTTACTTAGCCCGCGCTAGTAAGAAGATGAAGAAATGGGCGGACAAGAAGCGACGGCACTTGGAGTTTGAAGAGGGAGACATGGTGATGGTCAAGTTCTACCCTCATCGCTTCAAGCATCTCAAGAACGTGCACAAGGGACTGCTTCGCCGCTACGAAGGGCCATTCCCCATCGTGAAGAGGATTGGCAATGTGGTATACAAGGTAGAGCTGCCGACGCACTTGGAGATCCATCCGGTCTTTCATGTGAGCCAACTCAAACCTTACCACGAAGACAAGGAGGACGAGCAGCGAAGGGAGCCGCAGCGCGCACCAACACTCGTCACCAAGACACACGACCATGAAGTCGAAGAAATCATGGCGCGTCGTGTCATTCCTCGTCGCGGCGTACATCCAAGCTTTGTGGAGTACTTAGTCAAGTGGCGCAACCTTCCGGAGAGTGAAGCAACATGGGAGAAAGAGCTCACGCTTTGGAAGAACAAGGACTTGATCGAGGCATTCCATCAAGAGGACGCGACGAGGGCGTCGCGAGCATAGGTGGGGGAGGATGTCACATGTGGCAGATGACATGGCGCCAACAAGGTGACAACATGGCAGCAGCACATGTGGCATGCATGGAAGACTAGTAGCATAGAGATGCTCCTAGGATTCTCCACCATAATGTAGAGCTTTATAGTGCACTTATGAGTCACATAATGGTGACATTGATAGAGTGCATAATGGGGGGACTTAATGGGGTGTATTGATGTAGTAGAGGGACTTAATGAGGGGCATTGATGCCTTGTATGTGGAGAGGCCTATATAAGGAGCCATCTCCCTCATTTGTACTCATTCCATCATTTTTTAGAGTAATACACACTAGAGAGTTCTCCCACTTCCTTTGTCTTTGTTCTTGTTCTTTGCTTTCAAGTGAGTTGAGAGAAAGGCTGCCTAGCGCTCCAACGGAATTGAGAGCTAGGGCCGCATGATCGAGAGTAAGGTCGTGACAGACACCAGCGGTGAATGGCCAGAAAGTATTCATCGCTTCCCACGAGCGCGGTTGACACGCTAAAGCACAACACCAAACTGCGACCAAGTGTAATCGCAGTCTGGAAATGCAGTAAAGTGGCAAGCTCTATTTGTCAACCCGGGCCTAGATCTACTGCCTACTCCGTGACTATCTATTATCTAGCAAACTAAGTCGAGTGATTGTGGTTTTAACTAAAAGCAGTAAGAAAGCAGGAAATGGTAGGCCGATTTGACTCGCTCCTACCGTCACTCTAGAAAATGGCCAAGTGTAACCACTTCCTAAAGCGTAGTATAGCGGGTTTGGGTTTTAATGTCAACCCGGGTCCTATATGTGATGACTACTCAGCGAATTCTTATTATCCAGCGGTGAAACTTTAGTGCAGGTTCAAACAAGCAAGCAACTAAACGGTTGTTTTCAATTCGAGAGAGGTCACCCGGATATTGTTCCCCCTAGACTGCAGTTAAGCCGGATTGCAATTTACCAAGTTCAGTTCTATGATAGTTATACTGCGGGAGGTTCTTAAACAGTCTGAAGTCTCGACTAAAGGTCTCCAGACCCTCTCAATCTGAGTCCCCAGCGGCCAGCGGGCGACTAACCTCCATTGGAGTAAACAGATTGAGGCCCTAACGAACCAAACCTCCACTACCGAAGTAAATTCGGTACAGAATAGTGAATTAATTGGCTCCTCGACTAAAGTCGCCAATTCACTACCTTCAATTAAGGGTGCTCTATCAACCTAGGCAGATATTCTCTTTCTAGGCTAAAGCAGAAATAACAGGAATTTGATCAGGATTCAAGTCATTCAATCATTCAAGCCTCAATTGAATATAATCAAATCATAAAATCTGTACTTGGGTTCATACAATCAGACCTAACATATAAATCTAGGGTTCTCCATACCTAGATGAATGAGAAAACTACTCCATGGAGAGAGAAGCAAAAGCAGATTCATATGCGGAAACCATACTGTGAAGGATGGGTTTCTGCTCCTGGTCGCCAATCGGCACTTCTCCAAGTGTGAGCCGAGCTCCAATGGTGATGAAGATCAAGCTAGGGCACTTGGGAACTCTGGTTCGTCGCTTTCTCTCTCTAGGAATCGCTCTGTCTCTCTAAAACTCGGAACTCCCTCTCTTTTGGCTCAAATCTGCCTAAAAGGGTAACCCTGGGCAAAACACGGTCGAGGGCACGGCCGTGATTTGTTGCTGCCCGCCCGTGCCCTTGCCACGTGTTAAAAACACAGCCACACCTTGGGGAAAACACGGTCGTGCCTAATGATGGACACGGTCGTGTTTTGAGTCAGTCCCGCCCGTGTTTTGGGTCAGCGCCGGACAATCTTGGATCAAGTCTCGGCAGTAAAAACACGGTCCAGGAACACGGCCGTGCTCTGATTTAGGCGCGCCCGTGCTTTGGCTCTCGCTCAACCGAATGACTTTCGAATGTCCCGAAACTCGTGCTTAGCCTTTCCTTCAACGTCTGGGACCTGAAATATGACAAAGTAGCACAACCCGGCGTAAAACAGGCCAAAAATACACGATTACGCCCCAAAAACGGATAAGAACTAGGGGTGCAAACTTGTGCAATTACATCGTTATCAAATTCCCCCACACTTAACCGTTTGCTTGTCCCCAAGCAAACCAAGTCAGGCACAAGGTAAGCTCAAAACGTTTCAAACAAGCAGGCTTTAGGGCATATCTTATCGGCACAAAACACGTGGATCATACTGGCTTCTGATCATTAACACATGGACAACCTCAACGACAACCTAGACAACCACCACAGATGACATTCGAATGCAGTAAAGTCGAGCAAAGGAAGAGTCTCCCTTCTGTTCACCAACCAACACAGACTTGACTCAACCACTTATTCCAGACAGTCACTTCATGCACAAAGCTCAAGATATCGGAATTAAGACCGAGTAATCTAGGTCCTCACCGGGATAAAGAGTATAGAGAATATGAGAAAATGAATCGCTCACTCTCGACCAGTGGGGTCAGGACAATTTGATGCGAAAAATGCGCATGCTTATTCTCTCAATCCCTAACGTCTCTTCACCATGAAGGCAGCCTCTAAATGCTAGAGTTCACATATGGGGTGTCACCACTAATTAATCCGGAGGTGTTAGACACAGGTTCAGATGACTGGCTAGGGTCTTGGACATGAGGAAAAGGCCTTATAGGTGGTGTAAGTATTCATATCACAAGGTTCCACAATTCCAAACCCAACACACTCACAGTCAATCAAACCACTCTTTCTTTCTGCCATTCTGCATTACTCACTTTCTTTAGAGCACAAGAGCGAAGGAGGTCACATAAAACATAGTATTTCCAAGCCACACTGCTAAGAAACACTACTCAATGGGCGCTATTCAGATTTTGTGGTGGTGGCTCTCTTTTGCTTTCATTTACTTTTTTTTTCTTCTTTTTTTTTTCTTTTCATTTCTTGAGAGAACCACCACCTAAGCACATTTTGCAAACGCATGCCCCTTTTTTAAAGAACTACCTCCAACTCTCACATTATATTAAGCAGAAACAGCAGAGAACATGGAGAAACCACTCTGTGGAACCTTCTAAAATATGCAAAGGGGGATTTCCATTGTAGACCGAAAGAAAGGATAACACACGGCTCAAAGGGCTGACTAGGGGGTATGACACATCAGGACAATCAATTTGGTCGTGGGCTAATCCTATGCCTCCATCATCTTAGCTAATGACAACGTGAATGCTGCACATCATGGAAGAGGGAACTATCGCACAAGAAAGAAACGAGCAGGCTCAAGTCTCACATGGCTACCTATATGCTCTATCTCTCATTCTGATTCCCTGAACTAGATGCATAAATGACTGTCAAGAGCAAGTGATCAATCCAAGTCAGAGTTGGTAAGCAAACAGTTGAAAAACTGAACCCCTATATAGTTCTACTGCACATCTCAGTCATCATAATAGGCTGTCTTAGTCACACTCAAGTTGTCATGCATTAAGTCAAAAGCCATTCAATTCACCAATCACATCCACAGTGCCAATACGATCAAACATCAAGCAAACAACAGTGCTTGGAGCCCTCAAATCTCAAGATTTGGACAGCGGACTAGGCTCCAAGCACACATATATACGTTCCAATTAATACAAAGAACCCCTCCACACTTAAATGCAATAGTGTCCTCAATGGAGCAGAGGGAAGGGGAACGATGTTATCGTGAAATGAGATCAGGAACGGGGACTGGAAGGCAGACCAGTCAAGAGCAGGGGACTGGAAGGGGGACCAGTCCAAGGCACAGAGCTAAAGACAACAAAAGACACACACTGGGTGAAAGAACCGGAGGTCCAAGTCTACAATACAAAATAAAATAAAAAAACAAAACAAAACAACAAAAACATGGAGTCACAGTCTGGAAAAGAAATGAAGTGCAGAACCAGCCACTCGTCACTAGAACGCATCGCCACCATCGCCGGTGGGTGGAGGGTACTCGTCCTCGTACCCCGGGGACTACACGAAGGGGTAGTGGACTGCGTTCGGGTCCAAGCCCAGGTACGACATGATGTAGTGCTGGCCGGACATAAGACGACGGCCGCAGTCCCGCTCACGATCGAGGCGGGTGTGAAGACTCTCCTGGCCGGCCAGAATGCGCTCGTTCTGCTGAGCTATGGCCGCCAACTGGTCAGAAATGGGCACCACGGGAGCAGGAGACTGGGGAGCAGGGGACCTGGGAGCAGCGGAGGGGCTCGCAGGAGTCTGGTCACGACGAACAGTACGACGGGGAACCCGGCGTCCCCCAGCTGCGCTCGACTCTGGCTGGTCGCCTTCTGCAGGTTCAGGTGGACGCGGGAGACCCACAATCCAGTGCACACGCCCTTGTCGAGCAACCATATGCTGATGGCGGAGGACGAATTCGCTGAATGGGGTCGGTGCTCGGACCATGGTCATCCCCGTGATGTCGACTCCGTAGTAACGGGCCAAGGCGGTGATCACCGGGCCACAGACCAGGTGGCGATCCTGGTTGGTGGAGGCTTTGGTGAAAGTCCGGGCTAGCACAGAGCCCAGCTCGATGGTGTCCTCAGAACTACCCATCGCATGCATGAAGAACAGTGTCCGGAGGGTGACCCGGTTGGACGAGCCTCGGCTGGGGGTGTAGGACTGGGTGAGCAAATGGTTGAGGATCCGCCACTCCGGACGGAGGAGAGTGGCCCGCGTCTGGTTGGTAATGTACTGCTCATCCACATGGTTCGGCAGGCAGATTCGCTGGAAGTAGGCCTGGGAAGCAAAGTCGGTGAGATCGGTCACATCCACGTACAGGGGCCGGTCGCTGGGGTGCGGGTAGTTGAGCCCAAGTGCAGAGGCCAACTCCCAGTAACTGATGGAATGCTCCACCCCGCCGAGCGTGAAATGAACCGCATCAGAATGGTCGGCTGACCCCCTCAGAGAGTGGCGGAAGGATGCGTAGAACTCCCAGATGAGCTCCTGGTAGGTCGCTCGGCGAGGCAGAGAAGGCGCCGCCAACCATAGGGGCGAACAGCTGCCTCCATCTGCGGCCTGGCATGAAGCGCCTCGAACACCTCAAAATTGAGATACAGGTGCTCGGCGATATGGCGGGTACGGATGGTCTGCAGCAGATGGCGTTGTGTGATGCTCAACTGGTCGAGGTAGTCTTTCATGATCCTGCAAAGCACAAGGATGTACAAATGGCACACAAGCGAACAGGGTCAAGAAGCTACCAGCTTCCCCTCTCAAACTCTAAATCTCCTGTTGGTTGTTTTAATTTAATTAATTAATTTGCTTTTGTTTTTTCCGCTTTTAGGAAAAAGAACCCAAGGCAAAATCTGCCTTAGCAAAGAAACGCCATCATTCATGAAAGTAAAGGCGAGCCTGTGAAAGTTTTGGTTTCCGACTCAGCCCCACTGCAATGGAAGCCGACTGGAGAAACATGGTTTGTGGAAACGAGTGGGCCAAGGCAATTCCATCCCGGGCCAAGGCAATGAAGCAATGGACTGTAATATGCTTGCGCCGGCAGAAATGGATGTCATAATTGACATCCATAAAGCTAGAGGAGGACGAGAAGAACTCCAAATGGACTACCGTTAAAGTTGACCTCTGCTTGGAAATTGTTCAATAATTAAGGAAGGTACGCTTGCTGCTAGTTATTTGCTACAAAATCACAAGACTACTACTTCTGGAAAAGAGGTAAGAGCTAAAGTCTTTTTTTTAGTCATTAATAAATGACAAATTAGAATCTATGTCATGTGGATTTTATGCATGGAATTGCTAACCCTTGTGAATGCTAGACATGAAAACTAGAATTGATGCATAATAATGGTGACATTGAGATGTGTTTTCCTCAATGATTAAATACAACTTCGTATACATATTTTAAAGAGTAATTTTAATTACATGAATGCATACTTTGAAGCATACACATAAACACATTATGTGGTAAATATGCAAATGGGTTAATTGTCCATAGTGACGATATTCAAAGAAGTACTCTTGTCAGTACTACATGAACCACTAATGTTGCTATGAAACATTAAAGTTTCAAAATAAGAGTAGGAAGCCGAACCAGATCCACACCAAATAGAATGATACCCTTCGTGGTAGCCAGAAGATCACTAGTCAATCCTCTAAGAATGACACTATGTTGTGCAAAACTAGGTCATATGACACGAAAGTGTATGAACAAGTCTAACATTGGTTCAAGTGTTAGCTTGATGGAAGAAGAGGATGGTTGGTTGTGATCACTTAGATAAGCAGATGTTAACCTTGTTGGTAGCCCCTGAAGAATGGTGACTAGATATCGGCACCTCAAAGTATGTGTTATAAACGAGCTATGCTCAAACCACACATTGAGGTGTATTAAAGAAGAAAGTGGTGTTAGGCACTTCCCTCACCATTATTGTTGATGGTTCTGGCAAAGTGGTAATGAATCTTACATCTGGAAAGTCGTCTTGCATGCTCCAAAATGAAGGAATCCTTTGGTGAGTGGCATATCGTAATAAAGACAGTTCTAGGGCCAAGTTAAATGACCCATGAATACGTGATTAGAGAATCAAAAAAATTAGATTTTATTTTGATATGGGTAAACTTATTAAGATGTTAACTTGGATGAAAAAGAAATGCTTTATCGATTGCTCTGATTAATCGTTTGATGGGATGCTCTTGAAATGCTTGTGGTAGAATTAGAGAGTTAGAGAAATATGATTACTAGAAGAGCATATGAGTGTGTTTTAATTGGATATGATATCTTAAAACACACAAGCTTATGAAGTGAAATACTCATTATGTTGTGGAATCCATGGATGCCAATAGACTTCCATTTAAAATAAAGAGATAGTGGGGATTGTATCCCACCTACTATTAGAAATAATGGAACTAGTAAGGTGGTGAATCTGAGTATGAACTCAGAAGAAGCAAACAACCATAAATCGATAAAGGATTTTGGTTATGAGTTTTGTTATTTACACCCTAAGAAATATCCTACAAGTCTGCTAGAAGTTCAAACTTCTGTAAGGTGCAGATTTGTGGGAAGAAGTCATTATTAATAAAATGGAATCATGAGAGTCTAATAAGAGTTAGAAACTTGTAGAGTTACCTTTTGGTTGTAAAGCCTTAGGTAATATATCGATATAATCGAACAAGATTTGTCATCTTTGAGAATTACCTCCTGGCAATGAAGCCTAGGTAATAAATGGATTCTCAAAAGAAAACTGAAACGTAATGGTTTAGTTTATGAGAATAAGGATCGCCTAGTACTTAAGACTTTAGGAGAAAAGGGAAAAATTGTAGATTTTCTTGATATTTGTTCACCAAATCTAGAATAACATCCATGTATGGTCTTATTGCTAGTGGTGCATTAGATAAATGTTAAAATTGCATTTTTTGAATGGTGATTTAGATAAAGAAATCTACATTGGGACAACCTAAAAGGTTGTTATTCCTGAACAAGCTTTTAAAGTCTATGGTGAGACAAATCATGGTATGATTTGAAACAGACTTTAAAGATCATGGCATGGATGGACGGTTCTCTCTCATGGGTTTTGAATGAAAGTGGCAAGTGCATTTGTTACTGACTTGAGAACGACACTTGCACTATAAAAGACATGTTGATCTTTGTTGCAAAGACTCATGACATGAATAAATGTGAGAACCTTGATGAGAAGGATCCAAGTGTTTCACTTAGAGATCCAAATGACTAGGATAGTGAAATTTTTTTTTTTTTTTTGGTAGATCAATCTAACTGTTTGGTTAAGATCTATAAGAAATACAAGTTGTACACTTGCCTAAATGTTTGAAGATGCTAGTACAATTTTTAAAAAGAGCCCCAAAGACGATGTAAGAAAGTAAGAACATACTAGCATCGATAGTCTACGAGAGGCAGCTGATAAACATGAGACCCGACATAGTGGGGGTACTTGGCAGGTTTACTGATTGTCCTAGTATGAAGCATTGAAATGCTATTGAAAGGGGTCATGAGATGCCTTAAGAGAACAGTAGACCTTGATATATGTTATCAACGGTTTCTTGTTGTATTGGTAGGGTATATTGAAACGAGAATACCCTATAGAGGACTCCAAGATAACTAGAAGCTATGTTTTAAACATCGATGGAGAAGTTATGTCTTGGAATTCTAAGAAAAAAAAGTAAACGATCCTGGCGCAATCAACTATTTAATCAGAAATTATAGATCTAGCAAAGGCTAGTAAAGAAGAAAGTTGATTGAGAGGGTCATTACTAGAGATTCCCTTATGGGAAAGACCGTATCCGCCAATATTGATCCATTGCGATAGCAATTGCTAAATAGAACCGTTACAAATGGTGAGAGGCGACAAGTTCGTCATGAGAACAGTACTGGAAGAGAGAGTCCCTAACTGTTGGAGCAGTAAGGGTGGATCACTTAAAAGAGAATCTAGTTTATCCTTTGATGAAAGGATGAACTTGAGATTATAAAAGAATCTAGCTGGTCCTTTGACGAAAGGACTAGGTAGAGAGAAAGTCCAAAATACCACGAAGGGTATGAGACTTATGCCTACCAAACCATGGATTACAAGTGATGGTAACCCGACCCGATAGACTGGAGATCCCAAGAAACGGGTTCAATGGGTAATAACAAGTCATGAGTAATATTGAGAAACGTTCATGCATAGTGAAGCATGAATCCCAAAGCATTGGAGGTTGAGTTAAACTCTTAATGAGATCTATAATCTATGTGGAGTGAAGTACTTTACTTTGGGGGTACTTTTGATAGACTCACCTATGTGAATGTGGGACTGGGGCCTCTCCTTATGGAACTTTGGAGGCACAAAGTTGATAGAGCGTTCACTAAGCCTGGATAACGTGCATGGCCATAAACGCACGGCTTATGAGAGAATATCACTCAATGAAAAGATCTGGTGTGCTACACTGTCTGAGATAGGGTTCAAGACTACGAGTCACCCTTATGAAATCGGAAGTGTAACCACTACGCTAAGGTTCAAATCTTCGCTACCTTAACTTATGCCCGATCTTATGGATCTGTTGATGCTCAGAGATAGTTTCAAAACTATTCAAGTGGGGGATTGTTGGGATGAATATCTTTGAAAAGTTATAAATGAAATTCCTAATTAAATCCTGTATTTTCCCATAATACGAAAGTAAGATGGATAATTATTAAAATGAATATTATGGAGATAATTAGAATTAATTATCTTAATAGAATACATTTTAATTATGGGAATAATTATCTTCCTAATTAAAATATGACTTATTCCCAAAGAAAGAGGGAATGTTCGGGGTTTTCTGTTCCTATAAATAGCAGACCCCTAGACCCTCTAAAGTCTAAACACGCCTCTTTGAAGAGCAGAAACACAAGAGTGAGATTCAAAGAGCTCCAGTTTTCGCACAAAATCGAAGAGCAACAAACAAGAGTGGTTGTTTTATCCTGGAGGCGACCGACTGATAGTCTGTTGTGCGCAATATGAGGCAATGCCGTGAACGTCTTAAAGAGAGCGACCTAGTCCGCGACTCGGCCAAATCGGTAACCCTAAATTTTCCTGTTTACTTTCTAACAATTTCAACTGAATCCATGCCGGCAAATTCATGTTTCTAGTGCGAATAATAGCCCTAACCCTAGTCCCGACCCAACACCCTCTTCACCGCCAACTAGGGTTTCCGCCGACAACAACAGTTTTTCCCTTCGACAGCTGAGGAAGATCGAACAAATAACCAGAAAAGGCCCCACGAATCGGTGTCTAACTCGGCTAGTGATGGCAATTTCAACCCGCCCCGCGGGTATTACCCGACCTGACCCGCGATGGGGCGTGTATTACCAACCCGCAGTAGCGTGGGGCGGGGCATGGGTATCTACTTCCGACCCGCCCCGCCCCGCCTTATTCTAGACTCATTTTATCTCAATTTCTTATAATTTTTATACATATTTCTCCTATTTTGACTTTTCTTCAACTAGTTAGAGTCGCTCTTTCAACTTGTTAGACTCAATTACCCATTCTATTATCACTATTTTTCATTCTTAAAGTGTTTTTCCCTTCGTTTTATCGTAAAAAGTAAAATTTATTTGTATTTTTTTCGAATAACAAGTAAGAGTTGGTCGACCCGCCCCGTAGTAGCGTGGGGCGGGGCATGGGAATTGAGGTACCCGTCCCGCCCCGCCCCATTGCCATCACTAAACTCGGCCCCGACGGCAGTTAGCACGAAGGATGAAAATTACAAGTTGAGGGTTGTTGACAGATGTGGTAATCCAAGAACGGTTGATTTGTCGACCGTGAGCTTGAATTTGGTTCTCCAGCGAAGCAGTCAACCCAAGGCGGCATGAAGGGAGGAAGAGGATGTTCCTGCGAAGAAAGCCGGGGCAGGGGCAAGATTCAAGAGGAAGAGTACTCAGAACTGAAGAGAACACGACGCCATCGGATTTGCCATTCATGCAATGAAAATTTTAAAACATTAAAAAAAAATTATATATTTTATTTGCCACGTCACTAGTTTAACGCTCAATTATAAAAGTTGACTACCACATCAGCAAAAATTAATGGAGACTAACGGAAAGTGACCAAGACTGTTCAACTAATCTTAGTGACCATGAATGAAATAAACTAATTTTAATGGCAAACATAAAATTATATATATAGTAATTTACCCATAAAAGTAACACGTCCCAAAACAAATTGGAGGGGTGAATCAAAGGACTTCTCGTTGCAGACTAAGCCAATTATGATTTACTAAGCAGGTAAAAAGCAAGCTATAAATGGTCCTCTACAAATTACTTCTCTCTACCTACAGGCTACAGCACGCGCAGAAAACAAACCCTCTTCCTTCCATCCCTCAAAAACACTCCGGCCAAGCCATCGCCGCCTTCTTATATTTCCTTCCCATCTACAGTTTTCGACCTCTCCATCTGATCTGATCTGGTCGAGATAATTAGTACTGGAAGGCAACAGTCCGTGGGATGGAAGACAACGACGCCATTGGTCCTATCTTAATCATTTCGTTTCCGGGAAGCAAACTCGTCCAGTGGTGGTGGTTGAGGATAAGCAAGCATTGCATTCCACCCTCCTCCTCCCCCTTCTCCAACTGCACATAACTATACTATCCCATCACTTGGTTTCACTATTCCTTGAAGCTTCCACCCACCCAGCCCTGCCAATGCAAATGCCTGCACAGGCACACATTACCAAACTCTGTTACCTACATATATAATGTATAAAATGGAATCATCAACCCCATTCACTTTCATCACCCACAACCACCCATGCTGAATTGGTTTCCTATAAAACTAATATATTTTCTTCCTGCCCAAGTATATTTTCCTTCAATAATCTCAACCATGTCGCCTTCAGAGCTTAAAGAAACAAGTCCCCACTAACCCAGAAGCAACCAGTTGTTCACAGTTGGGGCACGTATAATTCTTAGGGTCTAGTCTAGTCAACTGCATTTGAAAAGAGGAGAGACTGTAAGTACTTGCTTCCTTCCTAGGAAGGGTAACCTTGCCTTTTTCCGTGCCCATTAAACTAATTCAGCATATTTAATTCCATAGCCCCTTCAACAAGGCAGCTAAGGTAGAGCACTCCAGAAGGAACCTATTTCTAGCTGTTGAAATCTTACCTCCCCCATGCAATTCTAATTCCTTAAACTGGTCCCCAAATGTCCTGCTCTTGATGCTGATATGAAATAAGATATTCTACGGAAGAAAACTTGCAACTAGGGAATGGAAGGAACTGCTAAGCCTCAGGAATCCATACTGTGATTTGGTTATTCCAAGCTAGATGTGAAATAGAAGTGGGTCTATCACTGATAAATCATCCATTATCGCCTATGAACTAGAGAATGCAGTACCAGTGAACCTCATGATTAGTATATCAGGATCAAACTAGGAACTCCATTCTGGTGCCACATTGAAGAAGGGAAATCTCAAAGCTAATGGATACTTGATGGTGTGGGAAGAACTAGAACTCCAGATGGGAGCTTCCATAAAAGGAAGAAAAAACCTCTCAGTGCAAAGCCTAGTTCTCTGTAAGTCTAAATATGTGTCAACCCTATGGCCATGAGAACCCTTATGAGAGCTTTCAGGAACAAAAGGGCAAGAACAATGCCCAAGTCTGCATATCATTTCAGGCCCCAGACCGACGTCTGTCTGGTTTACTACTTTCTAATGAACAGATAGTACTCTAGAAGGTCTCCGGCTTCCTATCCTCTTTCAGAATACCAAATTTCCCAAGCCTCGTTTACAGTTTCAGAATACAAGGAAACCTTCGCAAAACTGAATACCCTAATAGGCATAAGCACATCATTCCCATGTAGTTTTGATCGCCCAACAAAGAAGAAGAAGACGAAGAACCACAAGGGAGAAAGTAAGCTAACCTCTTCCCAAGATTTTCCAGTAGCTTCAAGCAAAGCAGCATTGCAGGTCTTGAGTTCAACTGTGGTGCCAGTTAAGATAGATGCCGCTTCCTCCCATCCCCTATTATGTCCCATGCACCTGCATACAAAATTTACAATATCTCAACGGAATGGAAGCAAGGCTATCAATGGGGACGGGCATTTCTTTTCCCACTTGTTCAATGCGTTATGCGTCTATCACATTTCACTTACATGACGGTGAGTAAGTCGTCGGTTGAATGCTTGCAGACGGAGAGCTGGAGGTGCCCAACAGTCTGCCCATCCATGGCTGCGATGGAGTAGAAGCTGGGGATGAAACGAACCTCTGCATCCAAAAATGTCGGGACGCTCTCCTGCATTATCTTGAGCGTTTCTCTAGTTCTCGCGGCGTCACTGATCAGCGATCAGTTGGTAAAGAAGGAAGATAGTAATGAATAGCGGCGACGACGGAAATTGCGAAGGAATAGGAAAGTAAGAAACCCTAGAGGAAAAACGAAGACCGACCTTAGTAAGATGAGATGAGGCATCCAACCAAGCTGTTGAAGCTTAAGCGCGACTTTGGCGGCGTCAGATTGTCCAGTTGAGGTAAGTGGACGATCGTGGTCTGAATGAGAAGACGAATTAAGAAATTAGAAAATTGAACAGAACAACTGTGGGATAAACGCATGCGATGCGAGCAACAGAAGAAGGAAGAAAGGAACCTCGCAAGGCAGGCTGTGTGAAGGAACTGTGAGCATGGCGGAGGAGAATGAGGCGGCGGGTGACGTTATCGAAACCAGGGGCGGATGGAGAGGGCGAAGGATACGCGTATTCATCGGTGACTACGGAGACTGCAACTCGAAGAGGAAAACAGCCGAAGGCGGTGGCGGTGGCGGCAGCGGACGAACGGAGAAGAAGGCGGGAAGGAGCTGCAGCATTATTAATATTCTTGACAGGTTGGATGAAGGACGGTGTGGACGAGGAAGAGCAGCAGTAGTAGCCACTGGCTCTGCCACTGAACAACGTCATCGTCATTGTCTAGGTCTCAGCCTTGCACTCTTAACTGCATTTCTTTCTTCACTTCACTTATCTCAGCTCTTATGAGGAGAGTTGTTTGTTTGGGCCCAGCTAAGGGTTTCGCTAAATACTAGGCCCGCCAACACATGACAGATTTTTTCACAAATAGCACTGTTTAATTTTTTTTTCTCAAAAATAGCACTTAACTCCGAAAAATTTCAAAAATAACACACTTTTTCCAAAAACCGCCACTCGTATCAGCGGCCAGAACTGCCACTCGGAGGCGCGTTTTTCGATGAAAACAGCACTGGTAGGGGGCGGTTTTGCAAACCGCATGGGGTCGTGGTGGTTTGGTTGCAAACCGCACCCCCACCATGCGGTTTGTTTGCAGACCGCACCCCCACCATGTTTTTTTGTTTTTTTTTTTGTTTTTTGAAAAATCCTAACCTAGGTGGAAACTTCAAACGAACGTCTCTTTGTATTCGGGTATCCGATCGTCGCGATTTTTTTTATTCCGCTTAACTTTTTGAGATCTTGCAAGCCGAAGACTGCCTAAGGTGGCTTGGTCCCGCCTTCGTCCCAAAATATGTCGTTTGCTACCCCGAACGAGTTTTTTCCGATTTCGTCCAACTTTGGACAACCATAACTTTGTGCTCCAAAATCCAAATGACATGAATTTTTTTTTTACGCATAAATTTTTAAGGAATACAACTTTGATCATAGACATAGTTTCGAAATGTACGTGAATTGCTGAAAAGGAAAGGTGAGCTATTTCAAAAATCATGTATATCCAAAAATAATTCTTGTTTTGAAAATTCATTCAATTAAAATATATATTTCTTTCGATATATTCAATCAAATAGTCATTCGTCAAATTAACTGTTATTTAGGTATATAACTTCTTGCGTAAACTACAACGGAAAATTGACATTTTGTTAGTTAGCTAAATCATACATTTGGTGGCTGAATTTTTTTTATCTTATTAGAACAAATATGTATGGTTAAAAGGTCTTTCTAATTATAGGAGGAAGAATTTTTCTATATATATATATCTGGTAGAAGGGGAACTTTTTTAGTTACAAGTTGAAAAGTTAATGATTTTTAATTTTATCTTATCGATAGTGCTATTTATTTGTGTGTATGTATTATTGATGAGAGTAAATGTTTGTAAGAATGAGGTTCTGAATTCTTAATCTACTAGTATTGAACAAGTACCTAAACATAAATAATCCTTGTTATCTTTCCAAGTGGAGTCCTATGACCCCATCGCTCTCCACCTCCCTCCGCCATTGTACAGTGTACAACCCCCAAAAGGACAAGGCAAAAACCAAACACCACACAAAAGTCCACCAGCCTAGTTAGCGATAAGGACCTTAGTGGAGGCAACTCACTATCCCCGTAATGGTACCCCTAGCAATAGACAGAGAGATACCTAGAGAGAGAAAGTGATGAAACTGAGTCTTCAAGTATCTTTGATCGATCTCCATCACCACGGGAGCCTGGCTTGAGCTTGGAGAAGATCCGATTGAGCGCCAGAAGCAGATTATCATCCTTCACAATATGGTTTTCGTATCTGAGCTAGATTTTCCATCTCTCTCTATGGAGTAGTTTTCTTATTCACCTGGGTATGAAGAACCCTAGATTTGTATGTTAGGTCTGATTGTATGAACCCAAGTATAGATTCTATGATTTGATTATATTCAATTGATGCTTGAATGATTGAATGGCATGAATCCTGATCAAATTCCTGTTATTTCTGCTTTAGCCTAGAAAGAGAATATCTGCCTAGGTTGATAGAGCACCCTTAATTGAAGGTAGTGAATTGGCAACTTTAGTCGAGGAGTCAATTCACTATTCTGTTCCGAATTTACTTCGGCAGTGGAGGTTTGGTTCGTTAGGGCCTCAATCTGTTTACTCCGGTGGAGGTTAGTCGCCCGCTGGGGACTCAGATTGAGAGGGTCTGGAGACCTTTAGTCGAGACTTCAGACTGCTTAAAAACCTCCCGCGATATAACTATCATAGGAATTGAACTTGGTTAATTACAATCCGACTTAACTGTAGTCTAGGGGGAACCATATCCGGGTGACCTCTCTCGACTTGGAAACAACCGTTTAATTGCTTTCTTGTTTACTTGTTTGAACCTGCGCTAAAGTTTCACCGCTAAATAATAAGAATTCGCTGAGTAGTCATCACATCTAGGACCCGGGTTGACATTAAAATCCAAACCCGCTATACTACGCTTTAGGAAGTGGTTGCACTTGGCCATTTTTTTGAGTGACAGTAGGAGTGAGTCAAATTTTTGGCGTCGTTGCCGGGGACGGCTAGGTTGTTGAAGAAACGTGAATTCTGTTAATTTAGCTTTTCTTTTTCGCATTGTTTGCTTTGTCCCACTTGTGCCTTCACGGATTTGCTGCTTGACTGTGTGCAGGTAGTGCATGACCCGTAGCTAGTCGGGAGGTTTACTGCCGTTGGATCCGGAGCTTGAACGCACCTGTCGCCAACTCAGGAGACAACAGCGAGCTAGACTGGCTACGGAGGAGCGCATAGACGGCCATTTGAGCAGCGAGTCCGAGGACGAGTACGAGATGGAAGGAGATCACAATCCACACCAGGGGAATCCTCACCAGGTTCCCCCGGTGAATCAGATCTTGGGGAACAACCCCATACCCCAGGCAGATGGGGTTCATCATCATCCACCGCCGCCGGGTCCCACCTTGGAGTACTACTACACTCCACGGATTGCTGACATCCGCCCTGTCATCCTCTACCCGCCCATTCCAGCGAACAACTTCGAGATCAAGCCATGCTGGATTCAACTCATTACATCCTCTATCCAAGTCCATGGGTTGAAGGATGAGGAGGCAAGGGTGCATCTTTCCCGTTTTCTGCAGATGACGAACGGGTTCAAGCTAAACGGTGTCCCTGATGACGCAATCCGCCTTCACCTCTTTCCCCATTCTCTGGCGGGGAATGCTAAGAGGTGGTTGGAGACCTAGCCCCCGTTGTCCATCACTTCTTGGGACGATCTGGCCGACAAGTTCGTGCACAGGTACTATGCAGCATCGAAGACCACAGAGATCCAGCGGGAGATCACTCACTTCCTCCAAGAGCCAGACGAGTCACTTCGTGATGCATGGGAGCGGTACATGGGATATTTCTGGCAGTGTCCCCATCATGGCTTCACTGATGCATTCACAGTGGAGAACTTCTACAGTGCTCTCTCTCCGGACAGCTAGAGGGTGATTGAGTCTCTATGCCCAGGAGGGGATATTCTTACTAAGACTCCACCCGAACTGAACCAGATGATCAATACCTTGGCTGCCAGAGATCATTCCTGGGGTCAGAGCACTAGAGGTAGGAATTTCCGGGACCGTGGTGTGCACTCCATGGAGGCCAGGTCCGGGCTCGAGCAGCAGGTGGCCGAGTTAGTGCAGACATTGAAGCAGCCCAACAGTCTTATTCCGGGAAGAGGTTTGGCTACAACTCCAGTAGCTCAATGTCAGTGGTGTGAGAGCTCAAATCATCTGGTGGAAGACTGCCAGGCTATGCGGGAGTCAACTACTCCCCAAGAGCAGTTTTCCAAGTTCATGGCAATGTTGAAGCAGCTCGATGTCAGCATACCCTTCATGGAGGCACTATCGAAGATGCCCAAGTACACCAAGTTCATGAAGGATCTCCTAAGCAACAAGAAGAAACTTGGGGATCTTTCGACAGTGATGCTGAGCAAAGAATGTTCTGCCATCTTGCAGAACAAGCTGCCCGAAAAGTGCAAAGACCCAGGGAGTTTCACTAGCCCTCTTAATATTGGTAGCATGCATGTAGGGAAGTCCTTGGCGGACCTAGGCGCTAGCATAAATGTCATGTCATACAATCTGTTTAAAAAGCTAGACCTAGGTGAACTTAGCCCTGCTAGGATGAGCATTCAGTTAGCTGATCGCTCTATTGTGCATCCTAGGGGTATCATAGAGGATCTGCTTGTTAAAGTAGGCACATTCACATATCTCGTTGATTTCGTTGTTCTGGATATAAATGAGGATGTGGATGTGCCTTTGATTCTAGGTAGACCATTTCTTGCCACCGCCAAGGCACTTATTGATGTGCATAATGGTAAACTGATCTTGCGTGCTGGGAATGAACAGGCTACTTTTTCAGTGGCTGACCTTCATCATTGTGATATGCCTGCTGTCACACCTATGCATGCTATTTCTCACTAGGTACACGAGCTTGTCGTGTACCCCTCTGTGCCTCTCGTTTTGCAGGACTCCCCTCTCACGCCTTCGCCGCCACTCCCGGCAACCTCACCTCCCAATAAAAAGCTAAAGGAGGAGTGGCGGCCGAAGTCGCAGGTGGCTAAGCCTGCACGGAAGAAAGGTGGAGACCACTATGAGCTGGTTCCACCTCCTGCACCACGACCACCCTGGCCATCCGAGTACTCACTCACCTTCATCTTGCCGGATGGCCAGGTCGAGCTGACCAATGCTGGTGGTCGCACCCGTCTGGTGCATGGCCGCAATCTGAAGCTGTACCTCAAGAGCGATGTGGATCCACTCTTGGAGGCACCTGTTCCTGCACCCCGCTGAGTATCCATCATGGGCGTCCAGCTAAAAGATGGTAAAGAAGCGCTTGTGGGGAGGCAACCCCACCACGGTTTTCATTTATTTCTTTTGTTTTGAGTTGGATTGTAAACTGGTTTGGTTTTGGTTTGTTTTCTTTTGTTTTGGATGATGTATTACTGGGCTGACCATTGGACCTAACATATTGTGTTTTCTTTTGTTTTGGATGATGTATTACTGACTGGTCCCCTCTCCAGTCCTCTTCGCTCAGACTGGTCCACTTCTAGTCTCATGTAGTCCGTGCACACCGGTAACATCGTTCCCCTTATCTTTCCCTCTTCTCCATTGAGGGTAATGTCGATCTTAAGTGTGGAGGGGATGTTCCTCTTTTGACTGCATTAGATCTGTTTGTGTGCTTGGAGCCTAGTCCACTATCCAAATTTTTAAATTTGAGGGCTCCAAGTACGTGTTTCCTTGCAAATTGCCTGCTCAGTATGCTTTGAATTGACAGTCTCTGTAGTAATGTGCAACCTAGAGAGGTAGTGTAGCACTAGCACTATGGAGGATGTTGAAGTATAAGATTTTTCCTATCTAGCTCTCTGTTGTGCCAGTTGATTTTGTGAATTAGTGGAGCTAGGACCGTTGAATTCAGGTGATAATGGTGACTCTATTTGGATTGTGTTATGGACTCGTGTATCGAACAGGGTGCTCATGTGAAAAATGAAATGC